AGGGCCGTGTGGTGCTGAGGGAACAAAGCCCTTTTGTTAATCACCAGCCCTCTTCACTTTTTTTAATCTACTTTATTTATTAATTTATGTTTATTTTACTTTATTTATTATATCTTAACTTCAAAAATAATTTTTGTTAAAATAAATTTCATTTAGCTATTAAAATTAATGTTTATTAAAATAATTGATTATTAAAATAAATATTTTAACGTTTAAAATAAAATACTTTATTTATTGAATTATTTACTTTATTTATGAATGACTCCTCTCCTAAATTTCAAGTCTACACAACACTTGGACCTTTCTGCTCACAAGCACTTCAGTTCAAGTTCGTATCAAATCTGTTGTTTCAGCTTTACAAACCATAAATTCTGTATTCATGTAGAACTTTTTAACAAGGTGTAAGACAGTAAACACAGGCAAATTACTTCCCTTTGGCTTTCTGCTTCTGCTGCCATGAATTCCTGCTAATAATCACTTAATAATCCAATATTAATAAAATAATCCAATAGCTCAAAACCCCCAAGATCACCCTGTGGAAACAGTTGGTGTGTATTTGGTTTTCAGACATGAAAATAAGAGCAGGAGAAAAGGCCTGTGAACTTAAGACCTTAATAATTTGCTGTATATATATGAAAGTCAACAGAGAAAACTCCCCAGCCTGCCCAGGAGGGAGAAATGCCCGGGAGGAACTCACTGAGGATGTCTCTGGGAGCTTCCCCGTGGCCCGGGAACAGCGGCACGTTCCTCATGTCAGCAGGGAAGGACAGGTCCGGCAGGTTCTCCCCTCTGTGCATGTTGAAGGGGTCTGAGGAGACACAATGAGGTGGTGTCACCACCCAGGGGGAGGACATGGCACAGAGGAGCATCAGCAAAGGAGGTGAAGGTGCTCCTGACCCCAGCACTGCACTGCTCTCGGGGTCAGCTACCAGGAGCAAACTCCTTCTTAATTCCAACTTCCACCCACCAGGGACAGTTCCCAGGCTGCTTCCCAGGGAAAGCTGACTGACATTTAGGTCCTGGCTGTTCAGGGAGAACCTCCTCCTCCTCCTCTCCAGGAGGAATCATCTGCTTGTGTCCTGATGGACACATCCAGTTCATGTGAGTAAGGAATGACAGCTGAGCTCGGCTCAGTTAAACCCGGAGCAGACCAAGGGAAGGAGTGGAACCTCCGAGCTCTCCCAGCCAGGAGCTGTATCCCAGTAGGAACTGGGTGATGGGCCAGTATTTTAACCAAGTTACAAGGCAGAGGGGAAAGGAACAGTGTCCCAGGCAGACTGCTCCATCCCTGGAAGTGTCCAAGGCAAGGCTGGGCAGAGCTTGGAGCTACATGGAATAGGAGATGTTTAAGGTTCCTGTCACCCCTGCCCTCTGGCACTGAGAAGCCATTCCCTGTGTCCTGTCCC